ATAAATAATGATAAAGGAAAGTGTAGGGAGATTCATGCAAGATTGGCCCTGACTGGCAGGATCAAGCATATGTATGAGGCACCTGCAATGAAATAAAACAGTGTCACCCATAAAGTGATCATGAACTGTGGACAGCATTATAACGGGATCTCATCAGAGTAGATGAACTTGCAAAATGTTGCAACAGTTGTAAAAGCTGTACTGCATTGTTTTGTGAGTAATAGCCTGTGCTACATAGGAACTGAATGCTTTTACTTAAAACCTAATGTAACAAAAATTGCCAGGCGCTTGAACAGGCAATGTTTGCATAAAAACTGTGATACCATGACAGGAAATATTCATTTATAATACGGAGCTCAGCCTGCAATATTTCAAAGGCAGCAGCATATTGAAAGATTGAGATAATTATCATGTACCATGAAAGCTATGCTTCAGACTGTACAATTCTTTAAAGATTTACAAACCTAAAACCTCCTGTTCTTTTGCCATTGAATATTACTACGCTGCAAAATTAATGATGATGCTGAGAATGGGAATCAAGCTATTTTATAGAACTGGAATATTTTTCTTATCCATTCATCACTGGTAAGGCCAGCATTTATTGGCCATCTCTAATTAGTTAAGACTCAGAGTTTGGTCTGGAGTCTTATGTAGGCCATACCAGATCAAGATGATAGATTTCCTTTCCTAAAAGCTATTATTGAGATGGTTTTATTTTACAATAATTTCATGGTTACCATCACTGCGGCTAGATTTCAATTCCAAATTTTGTTAATTATATTTAAATTCCACTGGCTGACGTGATAGAAGTTGGAAATCATATTGTCAGAGCATTAACCTGGACCATTGGATTATAACACCACTATGCCACCAGTAAATTGTACTGGTGGGGATGAGATTTAACAAAGGTTTTAAAAATTGTGAAGGACCTCAATAAAGTCCATAGAGAAAGCTTCTTCCATCTAATTGGGGTGTCAGCAACATAGATCTTCAATACAGAACTGTGAGAAAGCAAGTGCTGTTAGAGAAAATCCTTTAAGCAGGATTAACAGATGCTGGAAAGTACTATCACAGGGAACAGTTAAGGCTGTAGCTATTACATCTTAAGGAAAAAATGGATAAATATTTAAAATAATGTAAGATGCAATGTAAGTGGTGAAGGAGCAGAGAGATTCATTTTGGATTACTCAGACAAGGACGTGGTGCATATTCAGTGAACTAAATGGCTAGCTTTGGTACCACAAACCTCCAGTGATATTTTTCAATTTTAAAAATCTTATATGTACAAACCAGAAAAATATTCAGATTTATAAGCTGTGTGAATCTTCTTATCACTTGCAAGTATACATTGTGTATATTTCTATCCCATGTAACCAGTATTAAGATGATGACATTATTTTGGCTAATACATGCTCATTCAATAAATTTGATAGCTGAAAATAGTACATGTTATATTTTAGCTTATTTTGTAGCTATTCCAATTAATTGGAATATTAAACTGTTTTGTTGAATTGTACTGGCATTTCAGTTCACATTCTTCATTTTTACTGCAAGAGGTTATAATGAAGGTGAACTTTTTTTCTCTAATCCTGTAAACTTCACGTCACTATAAAGGTAGGAATTCATGAATATACTGCAAATTTAGTAAAAAGATTAAATGAAATCCAGCCCAAGCTCCCATATATCTTTTGGGTATCAGGCATAAAAATGTTTAGAATTATATAACTCTGCCATCTAGTGACTCAGTGGTATAGTCATAGTAATTCTTTATACCGTTCTAAAGATGGTTAAATTATAATCATTTGTATATTGAGTTATTTTTATGTTTAAAAATTACATGGTCAGTTTTTAAATGTTTTTTTCATTTGCCAGCAGATTGAATTTGCTTTTTTTTTAAACCCTGGGAACTTGTTGTTGTACCACTTTTGTCAATATATTTTGAAGGAATTCCATTTTATTAAAAAGATTCTGGTTTCAATACATTTGTTCAAACTTGGCAGATTAAATTACCAGCCCTGTTTTCAGCAAATGGCCATAATTATATAATATATATTTTGTTAGTTGTAGTATCTGCTGCACTTGTTTAATTGATAACATTTCAGGAGGTATAATTCCTCCAATATCTTATGAATAATGCGATGGCAGATCCATTGGCAATATATCAAAAGTCTTGTCTATCCAATCAGTTCTGCAGTGATTGTAACAAGATCAGCTGGGTGGACATCTTAGAATATGATTTCCCTGATTGGGGCTGTTAATCTGCTCCAATCAGGGAGCCCCAGCTGACAAATAAGAAAGGGAGTGTCAGACATCCTGTTCACTGAGAGCTGTCTCTGAGAAAGCTGGATCAGTGTCAAGGACTCTATGTGTAAATAAAGGGTGACTTGGTGATGGAATACCAGCCTCTGTGGAGTTATTTCAAGTTCCACTATGTAGCTCATTTTCTGGAACACATTCACCATCATGTCTTGCCACTAACATGATCCTCCACCGTCATTTCTGCAGTTCTCCAAGGACATATACTTGGCCTTCTCGTTTTCTGCATGTGTGTGCTGTGCTATAAAGCTTTTCTAACATATGACATTTTAAAGTAAGGAAATATTGATAAACCATAGATGTAGAGGAATGTATTGCTTGGAAATAAAAATGGCAGCTTCAGAGCCATCCATTGATTGTTTAAATATTCTCTGTAAAGTTGACCCTGAACAGCAATGCAGCTGGTACAGGTTACAGTGTTGGTATGTTTGCTATTGGTCATGGACTGTTATGAAGCTACTAAAGTATATAAGCCACTTCATCTTTCTCTGGGTAATAAATAGAAAAAATACAGGCTTTGGAGACTAATCTTTTGAAACCTATACAAGACTGTACCATGCTTCAAAGTGGTATTGAATAGAATCTTCGAAAGAAAGAAAGATGATTCAAATATTATTATCATTTCTTTATGAATGGATTAATAGATTCAATGAATACAGACCATATTCAATAATACTTACCTTTAGCAGGAAAATACACGAGTTCTATTAGATTTGACTAGACATGTATGCATTTCATCAATAAAATTCATCTATTTTTCATGCGACCATTCCAATGTCAGTGGCAATTGGAGTAGGTGTCTAGTGCTTGCAGCAGAACAGAAAGCTTTGCTACTCTTGTGTTATTGAAAAGCATATGGATATGACAGACACGGTGTATCAATTAGACAAAAAATTACAAATGAGAAAGAAAAATAAAAGGCTGAAAACTCACAGCATGTCATCAGCATCTGTAAAGAGAAAAGGCAAATTATAACATCTGGATTGTGTAACCTGTTAAAGTGTATTTCCTGAAGAAGTCATCCTTCAGTATTTTTTCCTCTTTATAGATCCTAACTGTATTTTAAATAAGTCCCATTGTTTATACATTGCAGTAGTAATATTTTAATTAATGTGCCCATAGGTACCTAGTGTAATTTCTATATGTGCTTTTAGTGTGTTTACACTAAAGTTAATGAAGTTCATACAAACTAAAAGAGATACATTTCATCCTTCATATATTCAGTAATTCAGTAAAGCATAATATTGTATGGTAGTTATAGCTGTAAATATGTCACTTCTAAAAATATTTAGAAAGACTGTTCCAGTGGAGAGCTATTCATTTGTAGTACATTACTCACCCTTTATATTTAATTACTGTGAATATTTTTCAATTCTCATAGAGTTGAAAACCCAACTGACTCTTGCTTGTTTTGATGCTTTAGTTTATAATTATTATAAATCTTGCCTTGGGCTTACAGTTTTCCTCTAAAGATTTAGTCTCTTTAGCATATTATAGTAATAGTATTGAGAAGTTAGAAGAAAAGAAGGAAATCTCATCCTTCACGTAGAGTTACGATTTCTATAATTTTGGTCAATTTCAGGGTAAGCCAATAATGAGCAACAACCTAAACCAATAATCTTAAATCAGTAAAGTGTAAATCATGAAAAGGAATAGTGTGATAAACGTATAATTTATGTCTACATTATATATATATATATCATTTTTGGTGTTTGGATTTCAAAATAGTGGCATTTGAGTGTTGGTTACTTTTCAAAGTATTTCCTTTGAAAACCAAGTTCAGAATCCTCCTGGTACAATGATCTAGCATTGTTCAGAAAGCAAGTGGCTGTAGACTTCTGTGATCTTTTAATGGAAAATTATTTATACTGTCTGGTTTATAGCAGTGAACAAATGTTGAAGGCTATTTGCTTGTTGTTTTCCGTTCAGAACAATCAAGAATGGATTTTAGTTTAAAAGAGCTAGAGATTGAAAGTTTTTAGGGTGGTCTGGAGGAGACCCAACTGAAGTCTGCAGCAAGCTTAATTTCCTGTCCTTAAAGGAGTATAGAACAGTTCAGGAAAAATAAGTCACCTGAACTGAAGGGTAGTCTGTGAAACTTCTAAACCAGGAAACTTTCATTGGAAATCTGTGGGTTCTTTAAATTGAGAAAGCTAAGATGCTCTGCTGTAGTAAAATTTAATGTTGGCAGATTTGGAAAAGACTTATCAAATTGTCAGCAGTCAGTTAAGTATAACACTAGGGAGTTAAGAGATTGGGTGTAATTTCTGTGGAATTGAATAGCAAATAGGTTGAAACTTTGTTTTGTTGTGTATTTTAAGATATTTATAACTGTTTTCTACTTTAGATACATTTCAGATACATTGATCCCTTCTTTTGTTTAATAAACTTTTGTTCAATTGGTGCAGAAACACTGCTGCCTTTTATGACTGTTTCAGTGACTCACCAACATGTAGTTTTTTTTTAATGATTTATCAAACCAGATTTCACTGGGGGATCTGACATATCCAGGAGTATAACAGGCTGGGATCATAAAAGTAGAAACCTGCTTGAAAAATTGTTCAGTTTTTGAATAGAGCAAGAAATGCTTCACCACTCAATTGTTACAGGTATATTTTAATAAGCTCTGTTTGTGAAGTGCATTGTGAATGAAATTTTGATTTTATTGTTTTGTTTCCTTTTAGGAATTTATTGAATTATCAAAAAGATTGATCACCGATACTCATTTAAAAGAAAATATTGTGGTGAAAGCCAAAGAATACGTGGAGAAATACCATTCCTGGGATACAGAAAAGAAGACTTATCAGAAGCTAATTGAAAACCTGCTTTAGATAGCAACAGTCAAGTTTGAAACTTGGATATAATTGATTAGAACATTTTATAAAAAGAGTTGTGTTTTTAAATGGAATGGGGATTGAGAGTGGCTTTTAAAAGGGAATATAAAACCATTTCCTGTGTGTTAACTGTCAGTCAAGTCATTTTGATTAAGCTTTAGCTTGTGTGTCCTGTTGGTGTTAAATTGTCTACTGTTGCTTTTTTTCCCTTGTTTCTGTAATTCCTGACTTTAAATGAAGCCATGTCAGTGGAATATTCTTTTACATGAAGCACGTCAAGAAAGTCTCAACTTGCTGGTGCTTGCTTTAACAGTGTTTTATTTTTCCAGTGGTCTGCACAGCTCTGTGGTTTCTTCAACTAACAATTGCAACAGATTTTGTACTTTTGAAGTCCATTATCAGTGTTATTAATTTGTGGCTGAACAATTAATTTCTGTTTGCTTAGTTTAATGAGAGGGAGGAGGAAAGAAAACCCATTGTTTTTAAATTCAATTATTAAACTTTTTTATGCAGTCTTGATGACCATAATCCTACTATGTTAAGACAGCATGAAATTCTGCTTTGCTGCTGATCAAATCAAAACAATTAGTACAATTAGATTAAAACAAGCTGTTAATTTAGTGAGCTACTGAATAACATATCACTACTAATCATAATGTTGCATTATCTGGCAGTAGTCTTCTGATAATGAAGTTCATCCCTTAAACTCTTTATTTTCTTTCAGTAAATCTCATTCTAGTTTATGGTTATGAATTTCACTTTAGTACTCATGTCAAAATCTACTCTAACATTTGGAAAGAGCAAAAAGATTGAATGCAGACAGGAAACACTGTAAACCAACTGGCCAGTTAGCATTTTTAAAGAGAAACAGCTGGGCCTGAAGAGCAGTTTTACCCAAAATACTGACATTTTATCCACTTAACATTTGTTGACTGAACTAGAGGTTGAATTTTTGGTCCAGTATTTGCAACTGTTTTGTGATCAAAATGTTCACTTGAGGCCTTTTTTTTTGACATCTATGAATTGTCCCTTACTCCTCCTTCCTTAATGGTTCATGTTTATTCTGATAACTGCACAAATTAAATTTCCTTATACTTATAATTCAATAGTATGTTGTTATTGTGAATGTTACTTGAAGTGAGTCACGCAGCCAAGACATCTGATTTCTTATTGTTTCAGTATTATCATAGTAAATAAAATCATCAGTTATTTCTGAGCATGCCTGATCTCTTTAAAAGCAATAGTAAGCCCTCAAAATAATTATTTAAACACACCTTTATCAATTGAAATTTAGCCCCTTTTACTAGCCTTCAATCATTCACTTGCAGATCTACTTCCTAACCATATGGTATTTCAACGCTGAGAAGTTAACATATTGCATTAACAGGCTTGAAAAGAACCTTTATAAGTTCCAGCTCAGATCTGGCTGCAAAATTTGAAATGGCACAGATCCGCAAAGTTAAATTTGAAATATTTGAGGTCCAGAGTAGATGTTGGTGTTCACCTTGCATATAAACCTGGAAGCTCAGTATTAGTATGAGCAGTTGAAAGCCAAATTATGTGGAATCATGTGGGCTATGGTTTTTGCATTCAAAGTGTAGGATACACTTCAATTCTGCATTTATTGAGACCACTATCTCATCCTTTTGTCTTTGTGTTGATTTTCATTATCAAAAAACTACAATAATTTTCCAGTAATTTGATTATAACATTGCTAATTCTAAAATGCCATTCTGCATGATAGAATATTTGGATGGTAACACTTGATGTTTACACCATTTTTATATAATTTGTAAACTGCTGTTTATTGAACAGCTGACTTGATGTAATCTTGATTTTATGTTCAACTTACATTATTAGCATTCAGAAATTCAACATTAATGATATCTGCCATTTGAATGGTAGAAGTATTTTTAAAATGTTTTACAAAATACAGAAATGATCCCATAACATTACTGTATGCATTGTAGAAAAACTCTCTTATTCCTTTTTTTGCTCTCTACGTTAGATGAAGAAAAAAGTAATTCAAACTGTTGCCTTTGTCAAACATTTGAAGTAACAAGGTAAGATTAGATTCTTTGATACACATTTTAGCAAAAGGCTTACCAGCCATTCTGGATAGAGTGTTGAGTGTTCATGTTCAACAAAGTAACTTGAGAGACTGTAATATTTCTGTTTGCTAAGGATTGAATAGGGGGATGTAAAGATGTAATGTGTACTGAAACACGATGGCTTTCACAATACAAATTTGCATTTGGTTTTCCAGATAAGATAAAATAATATGCTTTTATTTTTATATTAGAGTTGTAGTTTTTAAATATGTATATCTTCCGTGCTTTAACTAAAAGCTTTGGAAGTATTGCTTAATTTAAAAAAAATTGAACTTGACGTGTTGTTCCAGAGTTACTATTGGTGACGACTGTGGCATAAGAATGACCACTTTCTCTCTCAATGAATGAGAACTCTTGATCAGTGGCTACATTCTGTGTTGTATTATTCTATAAATCTCTGAAATTCAAACAACGCATCGCGGTCAATGACCTACTCTTCGGAGAAATTGAGAACTTGCCATTTATTTCTAAATCCCATCAAAATGGCGTATCTCTTTCATAGTGTTGTAGTTACATTGTTGACCCAGTTCTAAGAATAGCACAATCCATGATATATGCTATAAATTATGTCAAGCCATAGTTTCAAACTCACACGAAGTTTTCCTACAGAGGTTATTAGAAACTGTTACCATGTTCGTAATGGTGATTCAAGGACACCCAGCTTTATCAATGAACTAGTAATAGATCAATATTGGCATGACCAGAGTCATAGCATTCTGAACTTGACCAGTTATAAATCATGTAAGTTATGTGCATATTCTTCTGCTGCATTCAATTTCCAGAAACATTCACAACTTAACTTTTTACTCATTTATTTAGAACTTTTCCTTAATAATTTATCTGTCAATTTAAGATACTATTACTTCCATGTATGTGAAAGCTTTTAAATTCTCTACACCATTACAAAATATACGCCAAACTGAACACACAATAATAGAGAAGTAGTTTGATTGTTTTTAGTTTGCTGAGAGCTTATCACAAAATAGAAGAGTCATAGAGTCAGACTTTGTTTCATTTGTAATTAATTATTGAACTCAAGAATATAAATACATGCACTTGGCAAATAAATTGATTTCATGTATTTCCAAAAAACAGCAGTTAATATTGAACACAATAATAACATTTCAACATCAAAAATAAGTTTTAGATAAAATGCCACACCTTTTACTTTCTTCAAATTACATTTACCTTCATGAAATGTTTGGAAAGTCCTGCATAATGAATACAACTTGAATGGTCAGATCACCAGACCAAAACAAAACCATTCCAACAAATATTGGTTGTTAGTGTAAGATTTTGTCAATTTGGCATATCCAGGAGATATGATTTAGATCCACTCTGCTGAATATTACAGTAAATATTCTAACAGAAATACTTAGTCTGCAACTGGATATTAATGTGATAGAGTGGCATGTTGTGCAGTTTAATAACAGTGCATGTCCAGACCTAGAAAAAATGCACATTGGCTAGAAATAACTGGAGGAGGTAATACCTTGAGTGAGATTGAGGAAAATAAGCTCTTAATTGGTCAGTTGTGAAGATGGAAAATATAGGATTTGGAAACTATTCTTAAACTAGGCAATGTAATTATTCCTAAAAAAAAACACAATAGTAGTATGATTAAGTGTACCATTCTGAAAAGAATTTGCTGGATAATATGTACTCCAAAGGGATGCTGGATAATGTTAGAGTGGATTCATAACCATTTGTTACTTGTGTGTCTTGTACTATCGTCACACTTCGGCTGAGATTTTCTCATTTTGCAGCCTGAGTGTGAGGGCAGGTGTCTTCAGTGATGATTGCTGGGGATGGAGAGTCCATGAGAAAACTTACCAAATTAAGCCCCAATCAGCTTAAGAGCTGACTTGTGAGTTTCTCAGTGAATCACAGGCCTCGACATTAAAGTCCTGCCTTGTCATAAGCTGCAAGCCAACCAAAGGCCAACAAAGTCAGGGTCCCTGAGAGCTCACAGAGGGCTTAGATTTCAGCGGATCCAGTGGCAAGAAGCTAAGACGTTTTGTTTTACTTCTCACAGGGTTGGACTGAGGAGAGTCAGGAGGTCAGGGACAAGGGTGGGGATTGACTTTCAGCAGCCACCCACTTTTCCCCATCCCCGTCCCTGTTTGGGCCTCAGATTGGGTCAAATGGAGACTCCACTGCAATAAGTCACTTTCCTCACCTTTTGGGAAGGTAGGTAATTGGATTGGTAGCAACTTGATGCAGTTAAGTGGATGTTAAATTAACTATTTAAGGGAATTAATTACTGACCAGTCAGGAGGTCCCTGATGGAGCTTCTTGCCCAGGACTTAATTGCTAAGGAGGCAAAAAAGGGAGGTGGGTATCCCTCCATGACCAACTTGCCAAATATTTATCATCCTCATCACCTTCAGGGAGGGGACATTATGCCCATTCACTGAACCTAGTTTACAACTACTCTGTCGTCCGACTATACCTGGGATAACTCCAGAAGGGTCATTGGACTTGAAACATTATCTTTGCTGAGTTTCTCCAGCAATTTCTGTTTTTGTTTCATCTCCTCATTGCAGGGTTCTGGTTTGTTATCAGTTATTTTGAGTGGTACAAGTCACTCCTAGACCCCTGGCTCTGTACATTAGACTTATTTGTGGGGATGTGAATAAAAAGGCAGCAGTCTGGTGTTTAAGGGCAAAAGAATATTTACGTTTATGTAAGGTACAAAAGGTAATTTTTCTGCAAGAAATAAGCGGTACAATAAATCAAGGAAATAAACACAATTAATATACAGGCGAACAGCCGTACTTTTAATACACCATTATTTAGCTTACCACTGTTAGAGACTACCTTATTAACCCACAGAAAACAGTGTTTAATTTTACACTCTTAATCAGAATTCCTACCCGAAGGTCCCAATGCACTAGCACCACCTGCCTACCCCTCCCTGCTAGCTATGTTGGAACTTTGAGGTGTCGGGGTTTATGCTCATCACTCAGAAAGCGGTTTTGAAGTGTGCCTGGCAGTTCTGGCTTGCCGTACCGGGAGCCTGAATGAAGACTTTGGACTGCATAGGCTTTTCAGTTTGGGTTGAGTCCGCTGATGCAGTTAGATTTGTATTGGACCTATCAGGTAAGTACCTGGTTTTTCTCTACGTTTTGCTGGTTTGGTGGTTGTGTCTGAGGACTTGTGGTATTGGTCAAGTCGGTTGTTGAGTTTTAGATCTGATGGTTTTGGAAGTTCTTGTCATCAGTGTTCTCGGTTCAGAAAGGTCCGTGTTTGGATGCTCTTGTTCATATTCCTGGTTGGTTGTTCTTGGATGTCTTTTGTTCTAATCAGACCCTTGGTTTGGTCTTCTTGTTCTCGGTTCGGCCTTTGGTTCCGAAACTGATGTGGGGAAAGCCTGTGGGGAAGCTGTGCATGCAGAAGCTTGTTGTTGAAAAAGGCCACACTGAGGCGAGAACAGGGCTGGCATTTATGTCTTGATGTTGTCTTCTGAAGTTAATTGGTTTTCCGATGGTTAGAGTATGTGTGAATGGGTTTTGATTGAAATTGAATATCCAGTATCTCTGTAAGCCCCATACAGTCTGCGCTGTTGTAACCCAAGGTGTAAAAGCTGTCTCGGGCTAGGATCTGTTGGTTTCGGTCGATTTGTTCTTTTAGAGAGGAGTTGTAAATTGGGAGTCAAGGCTGAACAATAGTCCCAGATAGCAATTTCCATTCTGTTGTGTCTTTCCTGCAGAACTCACTTGAGGTGTCCCTTTCTTTTAAAAGTTTTGAAAGTCCAGGTCTCAGCCCAAAATCCAGGGTTTTGTCCATATGTTTTAATATTAGGGATTTTTGCTTGATCTTGCATTATTGTTCTGCCCTCCATTTTGCCTTCTGGAAGCAAACACTGTAGCTTTTAGACTCTGATCAAATGGCTAAAATACTGAAATTTTCTTTTCTCAGTGTCATTTTTTTCAAATTCATTGTGTTCTACCTCTTGTCATGTGGTCTGGAATTTTTAGTATCCTCCAGCTTTCATAGGTCTCTATTTTCTTCCACAGATCTTTACTTATTGTCCAAGTTTGAGGAATGTAGGAAAGTGAAGAGACTGAAGCATCTTATGACTTTTGTTGTGTGTTAGAAACTGGAGTTGTTTTACGTGGTAGGAGAGAGTTTCACAGTGAAGCGAAAATACTTTTTTTAAATCAACTTTTTTTAAAATGTAGGTATATTTGTGTTGGCTTAATACAACAGAATGAAGTACATTAATTTTCAGTGTTATTGCAATATTACCAGTTGGATTTTGTAGCTGAAAGTTGCAGTCCAGGCTGGGTGTTTTCGCATATATCTTGCCTTCACTCTACAAAAAAGGCATGCTTCCATGTAACTCAGGATCTATATCTTTGGAGAGTAGCTCAGAAGAAAATAAATTTTCTGAATAAATCAAGGTTTGCTTTGTCCCAATAGATTTGGCACATCTGGAGCTAATGGTGCTCTTTACATAGTTGGCAGACCTGGTACTCTTGGAGCATCTGGCACCTTAATTAGAGCTGACGAAGCTGGCATTGCTGAATTAGCATATAGTGCCAGAAAATGTTGACATTTTTTAGTTAATAGGTTCTTTTTCACAAAGGGATTCGATATGTTTTACCAGAGAAACTTAATTGTGAAATATAAACACTGCCATCCATGGCACAACAAGAACCAACTGTGACAATTCAAAGTGCGACAAGGGAGAAAGGATTGAACTCCAGCAAGCCAGCAAAAAGAAAAGGTCATAGCACTTGGGGAAAAGTGGATCTAGCCATTGGCATTGCTGCAGAGTCTGAAAAATAACAACACCTTTTTCCAGAACAACAGTACTAATTCCGTGATGAAAGCAGTGTGAAAGTGAGCATCATCTGAATTTATTATCAGAGACATACTTGACGAAAATAATGAAGATCAGTTTAAACAACAGCCGACATAGCTACAGAAGTTAAGAAGTTGCTTAACTCCTATTGAAACATTAGGTCTGCTTTAAATGTCTTCCTGAATTTGGTGGATCTTGAAAGTAGCCTTCTATGGGAGTACTCACCTTGTCTGGAACTTTGTAGGATTCACACCACTGAAGCACTGTCAGCCAGGGATAGCTCATCACAGTACTTATAATAGGAGGGATACAAAAAAGAAGTTTCTGAGGGTGCATAGATGACATGGGTGACACTTCATTATAAAATAGAATCTC